CCCCCCCCCCCACACACACATGAACTATGACGCCCTGGGGGAAAGTATGCTGTTCATTCTCCTCCTCTCCATCCAGGAGTCTACCTGAAGCTCAGCGCTGCCCCTCACCAACCCACATCCAGTCTTTCCTCTCTATCCAGATTCTCAACTCAGATCTCCAGACGAAGTTCTGGGGAGAATGGCAGGGAGCAGGCATGAGTCAGTGGGGAAAGGGCCAATCGATGAAGAGTCTGAATGCTTTTCAGATTTATTTGGGCCTTCCCAGCCCTATCCAGTTCTGCTTTAGTAGGAATGAAGACAGACATGGGAGAGTGAGATTGCAAGCTGATTTAGAGAGTGGAAAACACATACGTATGTAAAGCATTAAATACAGTTCCAGCCCTGTGCTAAGCACTTCGCCTTGGTGGCTCATTTAATTCTCACACAACACCCTTAATAGTAGATACTCTTGTCCCATTTTACAGAGGAGAAAACCCAGGCTTTAAGAGGTAAATTCCCAGAGCTAGTGAATGAGGAGTCTGGATTTTAAAGCTTGCAGCCTGACTCCTCCCCACCACTGGCACACTGGGTCTTTTGCTGTGATTTCTCCTCTAACTGGATTGGGGGAAGGCAGGAAAAACCCAGATCCTCTCCCACAGAGCCTCAGCCAGTGATACTGCTTCCCGGATGAGAAGGGCGGCCCTGAAGCCCAAAGCAACGCCAGCTGCCAGCCAGAAGGCCACAGTCCCTCCAGCCTCCCTGCAGCTCCCCAACATTCCAGACTCCCTGGGCCTCTGGGACTAGAGGTTACCTAAGGAGACTCAGGTGAGTTTCACCCTCTTTCAGGGCAGAAGGGAATGGGGCTTTGAGACAACTGCCTTTCCTACATGATCCACAGATGTTCCCGGGGGTGAGTTAGAGTGGTGTGCACGTGTGTGTGTGTGTGTGTGTGTCTGTGTTCCCTACATCCACAGCCTAAATGACAAACAGAGCAAGAGCCTCTTGAGGAAGGCCAGTGTGAAAGGGCCAAGGTGTCCAGGAGGCAAGTGGAGGTCAGAGCCAGCCCACCTGAGGCTGGAGAAGGGTAGGACTTGGCCAGGCTGGGAAGAAATCTGCTTGGGCACAAACAGGTCTAGTCTCTCCCACTGCTGAGGCCCCTTGACAAAGTATCTCTGCTCTTGGGTCAAAGCCGACAAGTTGTGTACTATTTACTCACAGTTTGAATGCTCACCTTCCCTTCCTTGCCTCTTCAGACCCAGAATCTTTCCTCAAAGCCTCCTGGCCCCAGTGACCTGCTACCTGGGGGACACAAGGCTGTTTTCCAAGTCTCCTTTCCCTTCCAACCCTCTCTTCTCCCCACTAGGCATTTGCTGGCCCTAATGTCAGTCACGGCCAGCATGGAGCCCGGCCCCTCCAAGGGGGTCACTGCACGGCCTGCCGGGGACCTTGGAGAGATCCACAACTGGACTGAACTGCTCTACTTCTTCAACCACACTCTGCCCGAGTGCCGCATTGAGCTCAGCGAGAACACCAAGCGTGTGGCCCTGTTCATCCTCTACCTGGCCATCTTCGTGGTGGGGCTGGTGGAGAACCTCCTGGTGATCTGCGTGACCTGGCGCGGCGCGGGCCGGGCGGGGCTGCTGAGCCTCTACATCCTCAACATGGCCATCGCGGACCTGGGCGTCGTCCTGTCTCTGCCCGTGTGGATGCTGGAGGTCACGCTGGACTACACCTGGCTCTGGGGCAGCTTCTCCTGCCGCTTCACCCACTACTTCTACTTCGCCAACATGTACAGCAGCATCTTCTTCCTGGTGTGCCTCAGCATCGACCGCTATGTCACCCTCACCAGCGCCTCCCCCTCCTGGCAGCGCCACCAGCACAGGGTGCGGCGGGCAGTGTGCGCGGGTGTCTGGGTGCTCTCAGCTGTCATCCCGCTGCCCGAGGTGGTCCACATGCAGCTGGTGGAGAGCTCCGAGCCCATGTGCCTCTTCATGGCCCCTTTTGAAACCTACAACACGTGGGCCCTGTTGGTGACCCTGTCCACCACCGTCCTGGGCTTCCTGCTGCCCTTCCCTCTCATCACGGCCTTCAACGTGCTGACAGCCTGCCGGCTTCGGCGGGCAGGGCGGCCTGAGAGCCGGCGCCACTGCCTGCTGGTGTGTGCCTATATAGCTGTCTTTGTCATCTGCTGGCTGCCCTACCATGTCACCCTGCTGCTGCTCTCACTGCACGAGACCCACATCTCCCTCCACTGCTACCTGGCCCACCTGCTCTACTTCTTCTATGACGTCATCGACTGCTTCTCCATGCTCCACTGCGTGGTCAACCCCATCCTTTACAACTTTCTCAGCCCGAGCTTCCAGGGCCGGCTGCTGAGTGCTGTGGTCCATTACCTTCCCAAGGTCCAAGCCGGGGCGGGGAGACGTGCCTCTTCTTCCTCCTCCACGCAGCATTCCATCATCATCACCAAGGAGGGCACCCAGCCCACTGCAGCAGGCCCCCATCACCACCCCGGCCTGAACTTCCAGGCACCAAATACCTCACCCATCCCGGCTCCTCAATCTCTTGTAGCCAGCTGAGGTAGATTTTGGTGAAGTAGAACGCTGGAGGTGTAGGTGAGAGCTTTGAGAGGGAGCAGGGGAAAGGGTCAAAGCACTCATGGTCAATTTTGAGTCTATCTTGTATCTTGAGCTGGGGAGAGGGAGAAGGGCAGGGAGGGATAAAGACCAGGTTCTTGGTGTTGTACTATTTGTCTCAGTCCTTGTGTCTAGGGCAGATACACAGGAAAAGGGGTGAAATAAATCATAGAGGCAGCCATGACTCTGGATGTCTAAAAAGTCTTCACTTGCAGCTGTGACTGGGGAAGGAGCTAAGGCTAAAGAGATGCTCAGCAGAAACTACACTCATTGCAGAAATCACCCTGGCCGGAAAGAGTGAACTCTGCACAGTGAGCTCCTCACAAAACTTTCCTTTTGTGTTTGTTAATCTCCCAGCACACTGTGCAGGCTGTGGGGACAAGAGGCCAGAGGCCAAAGGACCAGAAGGTCTCAGCAGGAAGTTTCCTAGCACTGTATCCTCAGTGCTGTGATAAATGGAGGGGGTGAGGAAGCAGGGGCGGGGTGAAGCCTGGATCTGAGCAGGCATCCAGCAGCTGGGTTGGCAGGATGGTTCTCTACCCCCTTCCACCACCCAGGAAACTCTCCAAATCCTTGCTGATATTCTCCCCCTTGCTAGTCCATCCTGCTCCTCTCCCAACAGAGCAGAGGAGCTGCCCCAGAGTCACTGCTCCTCACAGCCCATCTCCTCCCAGCTTTAAATTTAGGACATTTCAGATCTTGATGAGATGCTATTGGAAATCCACCCCTGTCCCTCCCTTTCTCCACAGATCATAGAAAAACATCAAGGGACATCCATTCTGGGAGCAGACCTGGCAACAGTCAGTAGCAGGCACTGACAGATGCTGTCCTTCCTCCTCGGTTCCCTGCAGAGGACAGGGAAGTGGGAATTTTCCACTTCTGTCACAGGACAAGGTTCTGGTATTCTTCTGTCAGTTCTCATCCTTACACTTCTTTCTCCCTGACCTAGTCTTTTCATAATTTATCTATCCAGCATCTTACTTCTAGTAACACTATATTGTTACTATCTCTGGGAAACTAGGACCATGTCCATGAACAACTCTGACCTAAGTAAAAGCCTAAGAACAGGTTCAAGTCCAGCAGTTTCAAGTCCTTGGTCTCTCAATCCTGCCTTTGGAGACTGAAGGGCCGCGGGGAGGTAACCACTGAGAGCCTCCGCCCTGCTCAGTGCTCAGTGTGTCTGGAATGTTTAACTTGGAATAAGTCACTGAACTGGAGCACTGTCTCCTCTGTTTTTAGAAATTTGAAACTGCATTCACCAGATGCATTAAACATGTGCTCCAAAGGTGCCCGTTTGTGAGGAGCATGGGGGCCAATCTGCATCTATAATCCCTCTGTTCACTGGGCCCAAACCTCAAAGAGTCTTAAGCTACAAACAACTGCTCAGTGGCACAAAGCTGAAAGCTTTTTCAACCAAGAGTCCAGGTTTAACCTGGGGCAGCAGTAAGGGCTTAACATAACAATGCAGAAAATACATTAAAAAGACTTTTCTCCCTTATGTCCATGTAAAAACCAAGCCAACATCTGATGACCCTAGTATTGCCTCCCCTGACTCGGGCTCCAGAAGTTTCCTAAAGGAAACCCAATTTTACATCTCTGTCACATCCCAGTTACCTCAGAGTCCACTTCCCCAAGACTGTGCTCTTCTCATGGATTTCACTCTGGCAACCAGTTATCACCCTGGCAGCATACTTCCTTAGGGCCTTGGAAGGAGAGAGAACTGGCTGCACTGACTGCAGCAAGGCTGCTTAGCTCGGCATTTACTGAGCAGTGATGGGGGCCAGGCCCTGTGCTCTGAGACCAAACGGACCACATCTCACCCTAACCTCCAGAGGTCTGTCTCCTCTGTGGAGGTACATTTGTTATCAACCTCAGAAAATGATGCCAAACTTCTGCCTCCTCTCTGATCTGCCTCTCTCCACTCCAACATACCATGTCACAGTGAATTAAATGGCACTGGTAACACAATTTGTGGCCAATGTTCAAGTCCAACTAGACATTAGCAGTTTCACTTCACTCTCTGGGCCAACAGAAGATCCCCTCAGGGATGCTCCCCCTGAAAATGTTGGGTCATTGACTTAATTTCCCACTAAGAACAGGTCAATAAGTTAAGCCTGGGGAATTCCAGCTGTAGGGAAGGGAAAAGTGCTGCCTAAAAGAATTCTGCTGAGCGGAATACTGCTACTGAACAGCGACCGCCCAGGTATTCCGGACTCAAGGGATGAGCATGATCACAGTAAAAGGAAAAGAACTCCCATTTCCAATTTCCTTTTTTTATTCTAAATAAAAACCACACTTTGTGCCGAACAATGGAATATAAAAGAATCAGATGTACAACGATTTTAGACATCTACTATTTGGGGGGAAAAAGTTTACAAAATATACAAAACTTTACAGCAATAGATAGTAAACACTTAAATATTAGGAGGTCAGTACTTATTAATTTAATGGAAGGAGTTAGACATCAACAACTCTTCTCCGTTTCATAAGAGATGTTAGCTAGTAGAGAGGTGGGAGGGGAGGGTGGACTGGACAAGGGAAGAGTGTTAGAGAAACATTGAAATCCAAACAGTTTGATTTTCATCCTGATGTCAACCTGATGAGTAACCACACTGAAATGAATGCTGTGGGCCCTACTTCCTGACTCTCATTCAGTGCAGGATTTAGGAAAAGGGACGTGTAGTGACTCCCAGATGGGCACAAACTTCTCTATACAGCCTACTCCCATGCCAATAAAATCAGTGTCCATCTATAAAAGGATTTAAATTCACTTCCACAGTGGAGCAGTCTGGGAAAATAGGGCACAGCAGGAGGCCAGAAGAGGAAGAAAAATCATCAGTAGCAAAACCCAACTGGGAAAAAGGTATTTAAGCCCAAAGGCTTGGACAAAGGGGGCTGGTAGATCAGAAGTCAAAAAGAACTTTTACCCATATTCTGGTTCTTAGAGGTCACCAAGGACAGAGCCCCACCCCCACCTCCTTTCTTCCCAACTAGCCATGAACTATAGACTCCATGGCGTCCTAAAATTTAGGACCCAAAATGAGGGTACAGCAGAGCTTCCCAGTGAGGCAGTGGGGCACAGAAGAGCCGGGATAGCGATTGCTTCCTCTGGCCACAAGCAGCCTCTGCTCTTTATCCCAGTGTGCCTTACAAGTGTCATCCTCTTCCCCTAGGAAACAGGTTGAGAATAACCTCATGCTTGGTTTAATATTCTACAACTGCCATCTTGAAATTCTTAATAATTTTTAAACAAAGGACTCTGCCAAGTATGTGGCCGGTCTGGGGTACAGAACAAGGAAAAGGAGGGAAAGGCAGGAGAAAAGACATTCAAGGGTCACACAGAACCTCGGGACAATACAGCAGGAGACAGTACTCAACAGTTCCAGGGCAGAGGGTCAACAAAACCAAACGAATAGAAGGTTGAAAAAATAAAAAACTAAAAATAAAATTAATACCTTCCACTAGGTATCCTGGAGTGCCCTTTACCACACTACAGTGTTTCAAGTAAAACAGTTCAGAAATGAGTGAGCTAGAGGCAGAGGCAGCAAACATGACTCCAAACAGAGGGAGGGGTCAGGTGTGAATACAGGGGACACGTGGGGGAACAGGGTTTGGTCAATGGCCTCATGAGCTATTGACCCTGCTACATGTCTGACTGCAAACAACCCGGCCACCCTGATCAACCACTTGGCCTCAGGAAGATCAGAGGGTGCAGTTTTTTGTTTAGTGTTTCAGGGGCAAAGTTTCAAGGATTTGCTTTTTGGTTTACTGGCAAAGAGGGAATATTTCACAGTTTCAGGTTAAGTATACAGACTACCCAGCATCCATGTGCCCTCTGTTAAGGAAAAGGGTTTTTCCAGAGTACTGATACATTCTCAGATACCGGGCTGGGTCTAGTACTACCTCTCTCAAAAACCAGCCCTCACCCACAGTCTGGGAGGGATTGCTCAGCCTTGAAAAGCTTAGCAGACACTTGATGGTAGTCTTTTACACATCTTCCTTCTTAAATTTCTAATGGTCAGTGTGGAAAAGGGAGAAGCCAGCCACAGATGAAAAGTCTCAGGACTGCTTTCCTGACAAGAACGTCCCGAGGGAAGATGTAACGAACTGGGTTTGGATGGTGAAAGGTGGCCCGGTACACAAGTCCCTTCATGTAGTGGTCATCCCACCAGAGAGCCATGCACTCCAACTCGGAGGCTTTGTAAGTTTAGGGCTGGGGAGAGAGGCCACAGGTACACCAAAGATGAAGCTTTGGTTTGCCTATATGTCTTAATACAGCTTTCCGAGTTTAGGAGGGATGAGAAAATGTGCAAAAAGGTCCTTCATGTGATTTGGTCCCCTTGGCCCAGTCCCCAATCTACTCCATCACAGGATGGAAGGAGGAGGAAAGGCCTAGGAATTTAACAAGCCCTCAATTTCTAGAACTTACATCCACTGCCTAAAGGGTTCCCTGGGTTTATTCGGCAAGAGCCTACCTGGGGAGAAAGAAAAGAATATGCCTGTTTAAAGGCTTGACATGTTTTCCCAGTTCTAGCCTATTTTCCAAATCTTTGGCTAGGATTCTCCCCTGGAACATGGCTCCTTGCTGGGAAGAAACTTATTTTCCTGAAGTCTCTTATCCAAAAGAGATGCTGGGTAATATGCATACAAAAATAAAAATAAATAAATATTAACGTCCAAAAAAGCTTTGAGTTCATTAAAACCACTTGCATGTGAAATAGCCCGGGGTGCTGCTGAGTCCCACCAGGGACAGTGTCAGGGCCCAAGCCAGGGACTCCCAGAGCAGGTGAGGTAGTATGAGTTACTGAGGTGAGCCAATGAGTACGTGAGATCAAGGGCCCTCTCATTCAAGCCTTCTTTGGGCAAGACCTTCCTCAAAAGCCAACTAAGAACAAAGTCCCATGGGCTGGGCAGAAATGTTTCCCAGCCATCTAGGAAGGGCCTGAACTAGCTGGCAGCCAATAGCGCCCCCTAGTGGCAACGCAGAGACAGATCAGGAAAAATTCCAGCAGGTCAAAAGTCAGCTGCCAAGGCTCCTGCCCAGTTGCACAAAACAGGTTACCCAACTGGGACAGACAGAGAGGCATCCCACTACACACCACCAGTTACTCAGTCCCTTTAATGCTGAAGACTCCCAGTCCACCATTCCACCTCATGGGGTCCTCTCATCTCTACTACAGGTCAAACACACTTCTAGGTGGGAGACAGGATATAAATTAAGGCAAGGCTGCTGCTGTCAGAGACATCCCCACCTCTCCAACAGAAAATTCAAGGTTGATGGAGGTGGCCAGATAACAGATGACTGATATATCAAATGGCTCCCTGATCTCTTTGCCCCACAGGGAAGGTCTGATGTCCTGGGCCATCACTCCATAAAATCATGTTTCTTTGGAATTGAGGAGAAAAGAGAAACCTCCCTTCTGGTCCATCCAGGCTGCCACTTCTAATGGCATCGCAGGACCTCTTTTGGCTGGCAAGGATTCATCCCAAAGCTTTCTGATCTAAATAGAAAGTTTAGTCCCCAGTTTGGATCTAGCTTCCAAAAGATTTAACTGTCTAATCAGCAGATTAGAACCATGGGACAAGCAGGCACCTCTATCTCTGTTGCCTTTTCCCTGTTGAGGGCTGAGACTGGAACCTGAGGTGAGCTGCTCTGCTAACTAGTCTTTTAAAAATGATCACAATGCCAAAATCTTTCTCATACTTGGTTGTCCCAGTTGGAGGTCTGGCAGTTAATACCCACAGTGAAAACCTCTCTCCCCCTCCTCTATTCAGTGAGGCTGTTGGTTGGATTCTTAGCAGCATAAAACTCGAGAGGCTGGGGAAGGGGATCTAGTTGACATCAACTGCCTGACGAGATCCCAAGACCAGCCTCAAAAGAATCAAAAACTTAGCCCTTCATGGGCAAGAACAGGCAAGGAGGTAAACATGATAGGGCCATTGCTTCTCAAAAACAGTAACAGCTCATGTGCTATTTCTTCTATTTTCTTCTTTAAACACAAGACAGAACAGAATTCCTAACAAGGCAAAATTGTAACTTCAGCTGGGGTGGGACAAACAGCCATTAGAAAATCAGTGTCCTGGCTGCCACTTGGGAGCTCCCCTTGGCTCTGCTGGGACCCAGTCAGCTGTCCGGGTTCTTTTCTGCCTCTTTGGAATGGATAATGTACATGAAGGTCTGCTCAATGGTGAAGTCGGGCGGAAGGCTGCCTTTATGCACGCCCACATGCTTGCTCATGAGGTTCAGGGTGGAGCTGTAGTGGCCACAGACCGTGCAGCGGTACATGAGGGCCCCTGAGTGCGTCTTCAGGTGGCACTTGATGGTTGAACGGCCTCGGAAGAACTTGTGGCACACCTTACACTGGTACGGCTTCTCGCCCGTATGGATCCGCCTGTGGTAGTTGAACTCGCTTGTGTGGGCAAATCTTTTGCCACAGACTTTGCAGCTATACTTGCTATTCCCAGGTTGGCCCTGTAGAGCCAGCTCCTCACTCAGGAACTCCTCTGCTGGCAGCTTCCGCTTCTGGAGAGCTGGGTGCTGTAGCCCAAAGCCAGGCCGTGGGTCAAGGCCACTGTTGCATTTGTGCTGGCTGACGTGGTAGCGATAGGCAGCCTCCGACTTGAAACTCTGGCTACACAAGTGGCAGCGGAAGAGGGTGTCTTCCAGGTTTTGGTGCACAGCCATGTGCTTCTCTAGGAGATGCCAGTCCACAAAGCTGTTTGCACAGACAGAGCAGGAGAAGACTGAAATGCCAAGATGTGAGAGCATGTGCCACATGAGGCTGCAGAGATTGAGGTGGCGCTGGTCACAGACACTGCAGGCCTGGCCCTTCAAGTTTAGATGGTCTAAGATATGGCCCCGGACCACGTGGAAATCTTTGGCCAATGCCTTCCCACAGGCAGTACATTTCAACTCTGCAGAGGCTGCCCCTGAAAACAAACCCAGCTTCCCAGGCAGCGGGTCATTGGGGTGGACAATGATATTGTTCTCAAATATTCCATCCCGTCGGTGGAGGGTAAGCTGCCACTGGGTAAAGAACTTAGTTTCACACATGTCGCAGGAGAAGAGGAAAATACCGATATGAGACAGAACATGGGTCACCCGGGAGTTTCGGTCCTGGAAGTGGGTCTCACATACCTTGCAGTTGCCTGTCAGCAGGTCCACGTGGTCCCGAGCATGCTGTCGGATCAGTTGAATGTTGGGCTCTAGAACTTTCTTGCACACCTGGCAGGGCATGGCCTTATTCTCTCGGTTGTCATTCTCTCCAAAAGTCAGTTCATCCTCACTGTCGTCACTCAACTCAATCACCTCCTCAGCTGTGCCTATCTCCTCAGTGGGGTCTTCAAACTGCAAGTCATCATCCCCTAGGTCCTCCAGCTGGAGGTCATCCATCTGCTCAAAGCCTGGATCTTTGGAGTGGTCACTATTGCTCAGACAGGAGTTGTTCCCAGTGGTAACGTCTATTGCATTATCAGGGGAAAAGAAGCTGTTTTTACTGAAGTCTCCATTGCTCTGAAGTTTGTATGGCTGGCAGGAGCTCGTGCTGGTTTGGATGCCCATGCTGACAGTGCCTAGGATTGGCTGGGTCACCACATTAGGTACAGATGTGAAAGGAGCAGGATTATCATGGTCTTCTGTCTTTGGCGGCAGTGGCTGCTGTGGCAGAGGCAGGCTATGGTTAGAGTCACTGGTAACATTTCTCTCTTCATCTTTATAGCTTCCTCCAGCATCACTAGGTAAGACATAGTTTCTATCAGGACCAAAGTGCTCCCCAGCACCCCGGAGTTCTCCAAGGGGATGGGCAGGTTCTGCTGAGCTACAGCTCAGGGTTCCAGAGTGGCTCTCACTGGTGTTGGTCAGAGGCTTGGCCACAGCAGTGCTCTCCAGGTCAGGAAAGGTGGAGTGACAGGCCTGGAGGAGGTCCTCCATACCCAGACGCTCAGCTACCTCGTAGATAACCCCAACATTGATCAGGTCTGTGAAGAGCTCTGATGTGTAGACAAAGCTCAGAATCTTCTCAAAGTTGGCAGGGGTGATAAAGTCCACAACATAGGTCCTGGCGGCATCAAGCCCAGCATTCAGGAAGAGGTTCTGGAAGTAGCCAGCTGCACAGGCCAACACAGCTTTGTGGGCTGGGAAGGAGCGGCTCCCCACCACAATGGTGACATCGCACATGGTCTCCGAGAGCCGGCACTTGTTGAGTTCCTTCAGCAGGTTGTTGGGGTGGTTGGTGCTTTGCAGTTTGATCCTCATGCCCATCTTAGCAGCTCCTATGAAGTTGCTTCCTTATCAGCACGGTTAATCTGTGAACAGCAAAGGGAAAAGATGAATGGCAAACACATCCCTGCAAGTGAGGCACTCTGCAGGAAACCCACTGCCAGTCTGAGTGTTTCTAAGCCCCAGTGAATAGACATGAAGAGCTGCTCCAATCTGCTGAGAACAAGGACAGCAAAAATGACAGAACAATGACCTCTCTCCCTGAATATACCCAAATACAGAGTTGTTATGACAAAAGCCTGAGCCACTGAAACAAACCTGACAGCTTGGTCTTTAAGGGTCAGTAAGAGAGGCTGTAGGCCTTAGATCCAGGCCAGAGGTATCATCTGAGACACAATCTTATACTGCATTTCCAGAGCAACTGGCTCAAATCTTTCTCATATTAATTTCCTAATTTCCTCTAAATATAAACTTTCCTATCTCATTGAGTATATTCTCATCCCTTACCCTGTCAGATGTCATACATATCTGAACAGTTAGCAAAGCTCCTTTGACTGCTGAGGAAAATATAAAAATGCTCCCTCCACCTTTTAGTTTTCTGACATTGCTGTGTCCTTTTAGCCCTTAAATAAACTTCTTGCTCATTCCTGTACCTACCTGCACTACCTGCCTACTCTCCCGTCTCCATAACCCAGAGCCCTTCAGATCCTACCCTATCACATTCTCTGGAAGCTGTGAAGTTAAAATACTTTAAAACTCAAAAGAGTAAAGTAAAGTGGAAGACAACTGTGGCGTTTAATATTACTTAAATATGCTTTATTTCTTTCTACCCCTCTTTCCAGGACTTATACTTATGTTGACCAGAACTAAGAGATTTATTTGTTGCCATAAGAAGACATCTAACTGTATAGGTAAGACTCCTAAAAGGCTTGCTCAGGGCCGCCTCTTCCCCATCTTCCTGCATGCCTAAGGAGAGAGGACTAGGCGCATTCTTCGGTTCCACTCCTGTCCTGCACAACAGCCCCCTTCTCCACCGCACCACCTTCTACTGGCTCACAACTTTTGCTGGGGCCCAGGATGCTTCTGAGCATTGTTTGGGTGCCAGCCAAGCATCTCCCGGGCCCTGGTGGCCACACATCAACGGTCAGCAGGTCGGGGCGCTGGGAAGCCCGAGTGGGGTGGGAGGGGGGCAGATTCCCAACTTCCGAGAAGGCACCCCAACAACCCCGTGGCGCCGCAGCCTTCCCTCTGGAGGTCGAATCCGAGAGGAGGGGCGCTGGATCGGGCTGGGGCATTCCGTCTGGGGAGCACCGCGCACCTCGGTCCCTCCCCAAAGAGCCGCGACTCCCCGGGT